AACTTACTAAGGGAAACAATAAGAAAATGAATGAACCTATGGGCAACGTCAAGAAAGTATGACCGTCAAGAGAGTATCGCCAGCATTCAAAGCATTATTGAGGATTTCGCTGATTTTGAAATCGATCGCGTATTAGGTAAAGGAGCTACTGGTTCAGTTTCTTAGGTGAATGTGATATTTTACTCCTCTTTTATATACCTGTTTATATTTTAGTTCCACGAAGCGAAAGGTAATAGTACCAAAAGTTGCAAACATTACCAAAATTCCTAATTGGACACCTAAGCCCAAATGATATGCGTAAAAGAAAGCGATTGCTGCCGCAACGGACTATACAAAAAAGAATAAGTTAATAAGAAGCTTGTGATTGGAAAGTCACTTTTATAAGGCATATGTGACCTGCTTTACCTGGGTAAATTTAAAAATAGCAAAAGCCGCTGCAGATTGTTTAACAAAAACACCGGCCAACATGGAATAAATTTGTGTATTAAAGGAAACATCACCTAAGCCCAACATGAGAGCGCATAACAAAGCCAGCCAGATCTTTGGGGGATCTATATACGATACATCCTCCGTTTCCTTAAATGGCGCATTGTCGGGCAAATTTAAGTAGATTAAAAAAAACGCCACTAAATGTATAACGTAAGCGGTAATGACGATTGGATTTCGACCAAAACGTGCAGTTTTCGAACCCAAAATACCAAAAACTGTGCCTGCTGTCATTCCACCTATACCTATGCAAATCCCGATTATACCCACATATTCTTTGGGCGTTTCGTGAATTTTTTCAGTAAATCCAACTGAAGGTCTATAAATACCGCTAAAGAATGACAACTCAAGACCTAAAATATTAAAAACAAAATTAATAAATTAAAATTTCCATAAAAAAATAAAAGAATGTTCCCTTTACCCGTGTATACGAAATTTCGAAGTTCTTACTTTTTTATTTTTAATTTTACCTATTCTATCCGCCATTGTTTGCGCTCTATCTGAGCAAAATTTCATTTCGCCGGTTGTTTCGCATTACGATCATTTGTAAAAAATTAATAAAAACATGCAGGACACTTTTTTTTTGGGAGAAACAAGGAAAGTCTAACGAATAATACTTATATTATTGTTTATACTGAGAAACGTACGCAAGAAAAGCACAATTCTTTTGTGAAGTAGAAAAACATCAATACGCAAAATCGGTCCTGCTGATCACTAATCGTGCAAGTTATTACTACTGTTACAAAAATTCCACATTTGATGGCTGGCTTGAACATTCTCGAAAACTAATCAACATTCTAAGAAACCAAATTCCTATAAATGGTAAAGGCAAACCCGCATTCGTAATGTTCTACCTAATAACTTGCTTGTAAAAAGATCTAAAAACAGAATGACGAGAATGAACTTTACATGAGCTTTAGAGAAACCATGTGACATTTGGTGGAAGAAGAGGACCTTAAAGGCGTTCAAGAAAGCGCTGTCCCAGATGAAGGTCAAAATAACTTTAGAAAATTATTTAACGGACGCTGTCTTGTCTGTAAAAAAGAACACTTGCCATATAATATCTCTAAAAAGCCCACGAAATCAACACATTAGATCCGAACGTAGCCAATTTACATACGCTATACAAATGCTTCCTCCATTATTTTACTCCTGATTTTCTTCAAAAATCTCTATGCTATTCAAACAAACCCATCGAACTTTTTTGTGATAACTGTTTGCAATTTAAAAAAAATCGTTATTTTGTTATCTACATCTCATGAAGAAACAATTTTTCACCATGATGCTGACTTTTCAGCGAAAGACAAGATTGTTACTAGAGGAGCATCTCATACTTTGCAGTGTGCGGATATATGAAAAGACGGTCGGATTTCAATTTTTGATTTTTTTATTTAAAAATTCGTTCATTTATGGGTTAAGATGGCAAAAAAAAATGGATTGCTAAAAAATCTACGCACGTCATATTCAGTTTAAAAAGCCTATCCTAGATCATAACGGTGTCCAAATTCTTGAATCGAACTGCATTAAATAGCAACATATGAGCCTAGATCGAACATTGACGTGGGGAAGTCACATAAAGGCAAAAGAAGCGTATTTGGAAATAAAAGCAAAGCTTCAGCTATGCTGGCTGATAGATCAAAAATCAAAGTTTAGTCTCGAAAACAAAACAATCCAGAAAACCGTTTGCACAGATGGAATACAAGCTTTGGTATACTGCGAAGAATTCAAACACTGGAATTATTCAGCGTTGCCAATCTAAGACACTAAGATTAATCACAGGTACTGCATAGTATATGATAAAAAAACACGTTCATAAGGTTTTAGACATTTCCAAAGTAAAAGACGAAATTGTCAACTTCAATTTTCGGTACGTTGACCAACTTAGCAATAATTCAAACTTACTCACAATAGGTTTGCTGGACGATAGTGAACAGGCAAATAAACTAAAAAGATATCATTTTAAGATCTGTTATTTAGAATTTGAATGCAAATATGTATGCTAATATGTATATATTCTCAAATCATTCTAAAATTAAAATAAGTTGCACATGTATATAAAAATTTTAAATTTTGTTAGTGTAAATTTAAGATTGGCCTAATTGATTCTTATTGTAAAATGGATTGCAAAAAAATGTACAAACGAAAAGAAGAAATTGCCATGTGCAAGATAAAATTGATTCAATTCTGACACATCCAGACAAAAAGGATGATGTTCCGATGTTAAATTCATTTTACTCTTTTGCTTCATACACGAAACACATTTTAAACAAAAAACAAAATTAATCAGACGCATGCACAGTCCCAAAAAGCTCACGAAACCAACATAAAACGTTCCATTTTAAACATCAGCCACTTTACATTTCTTCGTATTTATCTGAAACAAGGTACAAAAGTTTTAGCTTTTGTTTTTTTTGCATTTCTTTCTCAATTACCTCATCGTTTGGCGATACAGACGTGGTGATAAATTCCGCACTACTTTGAGCTGCAATGACCTGAACTGCCTGACCTGGAGCAGATGGCTTATTTTTGTTCAGGGTTTTCTCCAACTGTTTATTCATTAGGCTATGTTTGTCACCACAGCAAAGTATCCCTGAACTCCTACAATTGTCTAAAGGATTGCTATGCATTAAATTCTTTACTAAAAGTAAATCTGTTTTAACCATATGGTGATCGTCATCACAGAGTATTTGCTCATTCGACAAATTTTGTGCGTTAATATATTGTTGATTAAGAAATAAAACGTTAGATATATTATATTCCAAAGGGGGAGATAAATACTTACTAATTATTCCAAAATAATAATTGCGAACGTTTTGAAATATTAAAAGGTTAATTAGCAGAAAAGAGTAAATCAAAATAGATTTTAAACAAAAGAAATGTACATATTCATTTTCTTATAAATTGAAATTCTTTTCCCCAATCAGTTTTACAGTAACAAATATTCCGATAACTTGAGCTTAAGCATTGTTTTCATATACGTATTTAAAACATGGTGCTTTCAGACGCATCACCGAAAAATTTGTATACGCTATAAGATAGTCACAATTTTGATCTTTATTAGTCTTTAGTATATGTTCGTTTTTCTTTCAATTTAGCTTCATTTATTTATTAAGTTTGGAAACGAATTATATAAAAAGTGTTGGCTTGTACGCTCTTTTCCACAACGAACATAGTTTCTTATATGTCAAAGAAGTTCGTTTTTGTATTTCTTTTTTGAAATATCTTCTGATGTTTTGCAAGTTTTTCAATGATTCTTTAATGTTTTAAAATACATTATTTGAAGTGATTAGAATAAAAATCTGCCTTCAAAAAGTAAAAACTTTTTTAAGTAAATTTAGTAAAGGCTGCAATATAAATGTTGTCTTTTATGAACTTATAAAAACTTGGTGCGATCTTACTGCTGCGTTGATATTATTTGGCTCAATTTGGTAGAAACAGTTACGTACCAAACGTCAACACTTGTGTATTAAACATTAGAACGACGTTCTCTCACAAAACATTTCATACAAAAGAAAAATGCTTTTGCGTAAAAAATTATAAAAATGTAGTTTGATAAAAACAGCAATCTAAAACACTAACGAAAATTAAATATATTCGAACGCAAGGCGACACGAATATTGAAGTGAAAATTTTTAAAGGTATTAGAGCTCACGCTCCGTAAGGGGTGCCCTTTCGACTCTGAACAATTATTTAGCAGGAATGTGTGCAACTTAATTCAGAGCTGCATATTGAGCAGGACTGGTGAAGGGCGACCGATAGTAGGAACTAGTCAAGTGGAACGGTTATATAAAATTGTGAAAATCGAAATTAGCAGATTAGTAAATATGTCAAATATCTGCTTCAAATTTAATATTAGGACCTACTCCAATCATAGATGGACTACTAGGAATATAATGTAACAGATGTGAAGAAAACTTACGTTTTACATTGAAATAATCCATTTTGCCTGATGTATTCTATTACCATATCATTAATGAGATATTTGACCGATTGACCCCTAGCCAATAGTCTCCGTATCACGGTGGAACTAACGTCATTCGGCACCCAATTTATAACTAAAGTAATATTACGCTATACGAAATAATCCTATCATAATTATGAAGGTCAAGGATAAATAACTAACTTACCTGGTATTTAGTCAGGACATCGGAATCGAAAATAAATTTTTCTGGATTAGCTCCACTACGAGTTACAACAACCAGACCGTGATGAGCAACTATATCCTCAATCTGGAAAGTATTTGAGTTCACTTTTTTGTTTTTTGTTACTGAAATTTAACATGACATGGTGCGCTTCAAAGAATTTTTATGCACAAATGATCTTAGAAATGCGTATACACTTTATCGTAGATACGTTGGAAACAGTTACTTACATCCGCATCTGACCATAAGCCCGGAACGCCGAAAGATTCTAACATGTCAGCACCACACAGCAACTTTAATTGTACGGGATCCTTTCTTACACGTAAATTAGCTGGCAGCCAGCCTGGCAAACAATCATAGCCACTCATAGTGGCCGTAACATCTGGAGAATTTATATAATTGTTCATGAAATTTTGATGATACTGCAGCACTGATTTTGTTCGCGACCAACCATCTTGTTGGGTTTCCCAATCGGACAAGCGAATCCATGATGACGACTGCAACGCCAGTTTGATCATGGCACAGCGATGTTTGGCTGCAGCCAAGCCCTTTTTGCCATAACCGTCATGAGTGGGCGAAACGATTCCACCTACTACTTTATGTGTACCATTGACTTCAAAATGATCTTTAGCTATTTCTGAATTTAATTACTGCATAATTATTTCATATTGTACTGTTTGTATTACGCAGCTATGAACTCACCAAACATACGCAAATGCATCGGCGTTGGCGGGCTAAAAGAACCGCATGCTATCAATACTATCCTTGGTAAAAGGCGATTTGTAGTCTCTTCTATGAAGGCGGACATACCAACAACGTCGAACGACGTGAATTTTTAGTCAAACTCCTAAAATCCTTATGAAATTATTTTAACCTCATATAGTTACCACCAATTTTAATAAAGATATGATACTATTACTAATACTACTAAGTAAAAATAAGTGGCAATGCTGAATAGAATACCCTGCCAGAAAAGGGACTAAAACAATAAGCTGTCATCCTCATTTTCGGGTTAAAAACTCCCAAGTGGTAAACGAAATGAGCAGCAGCCACCATAGTGCTTCGTAGCAAAATGTAAATGAAAACATATGATTTTAGCACCAAATAAAGAAATTAATGTAAAGATAAACAAGAAATTTATAAAAATTATTATTATTATTATTATTACTATTAATTTCGCCAGAGAAATAAATTCTAAGACTAAACTCTTAAAAGCATTAGCATCTAAGGCTATCGGCTTATTACAAAAAATAATAATGACATTAATATAAAAGTAAACAAGCTCGTTTTTTGGGAATATACAGCTAACTCCAGCATGTCATCCAACTAAACAAAACCAATTTCATCAAAAATGGGTCAAACATAACCAATAATTCTTAAAACTGTGATATTAAAGACTTAAATTACATTACTGGAATATTGGCTTGTAAGATAACATGTTCTTGATACAAATAAAAAAAGGGCTTGTTTATTGTAAATATATATATTTTGGATATATTTTTGTGTATTAATTCATCCATAATTTAACAACTACCACGTATTATTCTCTAAAAAACCATTTGATGAACATATTTCAACTTTAAAATAAATGGTCTTTATTGCTTATTTTTAATTTCATAGAAAATAATGGACGTTATCGCCCAATATAAAGAGAAAATTGCTTCTCCTCTAGTTTATTGGGGTTTTTTAAAGCTTTTCAAGGCTTGACATGGTGAAGCATTGCTTATGTTCTGAGCCCTTTGAGACACATTTAATGTATAAATGTTTCATATAAAACTAGGAAGATATTATTTATAAATGCTCATATATATGACGCGAGTATATTGTATACATAACTTACAAATATATAAATTGAATGTATTCTTCAGACGTATGAATAAGAACGAGGTGTCAAGGTTTCATTAAATTTTCAGCCATACATTTCCTTTCTATTGTTGTGGGCTAATGCAATGACGCGTTATTCCTATTTACGAATCGGGACATCAATTGTGCCGAAAACCTTATGGGAATTGACAAACCATACGAGTTTGCATATATACATGCAAGTAAAGCGAGGAGAGTCCGCCTGAGTGGCCAATTAGGCAAGAGTCTCGACTAGCAAGATGGTCTTGGGTTCAAATCTCAATTGCGGTAGAGTTTTTAATAAAAGCCGAAAGCCTTAGATGCTAGTGCTTTAAGACTTTAGTCTTAGAATTTATTCTCTGGCTAAATTTATAATACCAATAATAACAATAACAATAAAGCGAAGAGAAAAAAAGCAAAAGACAAAATGAAGTTGGTTTTTTTAAGTTTTGAGGTTATTTGCATAATATATACTTATCTTGCACTGAAGTGCATTTTTTTTCTTTATTAATTTATACTATGTATGATTTTGTAAGGTGTGAAGAACAAGCAATAAGTACTATTTATTTTAAAGTTTATACATTCATCAAACGATTTTTTAGAGAGTGATAAATGTCTATCTACAATAAAAAAGGTTGTATTGCTTTTATATTAACCTCATTATTACTATTTTTTATAAACTCGTTGTTTATGTTTACTGTGATTTCTTTATTTTCAAAACTTGCCAACAATATATGTAAATTTTCGCGGCCAAATTATGAATGTATTCCCGCTCACACTCTTTTTCCATTATACACATGTACAGCAACACTTCTTACACTGCAAAATTCACTCTACGCTGTTCTGTCCTACGTGGCGGACGAGTAACATGCAAAAAATCATGAAATATGAAAAGAAAAAACGTTGCGGACGTATAACACGCAAAAATTAACAAGACATTGATTAAATATAGTTTAATTACAAAATATAAAGAAATAATGAAATATACAAATAATATCAAATATATATTAAAGTTCGCCCGAGTGATTGAAGGCAAGGAATCTCGAATAGCAGCTCGATCTTCTTGGGTTCGAATATCAAGTGCTTTTAATAAAGCCGATAGCCTTAGACACATAAACATATAACATGTATGCATAGATAAAATTTTTTGCTTGCTTTCTGATCTCTTTTCAAACCATTCCCATGTAAACCTTCCAAAAAATAAACCACTTTTTTAATTATGTTAATTTTTCACATACTATAAGGAAGACAGGTGAAGTATTTCATTGGGCAAATTTAGTGGAGGGTATTTAATAATAAATATATATACATTACCTTCCTATATATATATTACATTCCTCCTGATTATCTTCTCATACTATAATACCAAAAAGTGTGCGGCCATTTAAGTAACAATAAGCAAGGAAATTTCTTTTATTTTTCTATTTCTAAAAGAGAAATGTAAAATCACGTCTGATTATAAAGGCTACATATATTAATGCGAGTAAAGTAAGTAAACAAATTTAATTCATGGCCTTCAGTTTAATTTCTAATAGAATCTATATCTTAAGCTTAGCGACAACATAACAAAACAATGGAAACTTGCAACAAATAGTTACTAAATTTTCTAAGCTAAAAGTAGAAACCTAGATTTTGCTTAGTAAATTGCTAAATTGTTTAATTGTAATTTAAATTTCCCATACAGACATATTTCACATCCACATACTCGTCTATGCCATAATGGCAAGTTAACTTTTTGTTACCAAAAGATGAGGGATATATTCATTTTGTTAAGATCGCACAAAGTACATGTGTTCTGGATCAACATTATATTCTTAATCGGTTTAAGCACTTCAGTCTGTCCATTTGCGCAATGCCTGTTGGGAAAAATGTCCTGGATGAAAAAACGCAACTAACGATATAGTCTTCAGCAAACACACGCATGTTACTTATACAGCACAACCCACACACCGTATAAATTTCCACTTTTATTATGAAAATATAAAAACTCAGCCGTGTCCACCCACTATTATAGAGTATATATTTTTTGGATTCACGGTGGTGAGAATGAAAACCTATTTCTTTCCCTTTTTGTAAATTTTTTTAGGGAAACGGTGTAAGTGTTTGATCGATCAAAGCCGCGCGTAATTTTCTTACTTGTTTTTCCTAATTTTGTTGACATACCCGGTCAACTAGTCCCTCTTCTATTGAATATATATATGAATACCCTTTAGGAAGAATCTTTAGAGCACACAAAAAAAAAAAATTATTATTATTAGTACAATTAAAATCTTCTACACAGAGGAGCGCCAAGACGGACGCCCTGCCCGAAAACCGGGGAATCATAATAAATAAAATATATTGTTAAGAATCTTTATCTAATAATGCTGTTTTGTATTTTAAAAAATAATATTTAAAAAGAACAGAAAAATAACATAATAAATATGTAATGTGACAATTTGTCAGTTTGACTCGATTCTGTGACTTTTTAATTGGTGAATAAATGTATAGGCTCACGAATGGTAGGTAGGCATTTTATTAAGATTTGATGATTTCGTTAATATCCTCTCGATGATGCGCCTGAAAAAACATTACAATGCTGCGTACATATTGCTTATTAATTAATATATTATTTTAATATTAGAGACATCATCGTAATTTGTCCCTTTCTGCATTTCCCAAACAAGGATTTGCCTCTTTTTATTGGGTCAAACACAAACGTATACCAATAAACACTTCAAAGGAAGAAGAACAAACAACCTGCACCAAAAAGGAAGAAGAACAAGCAACCTGCACCAAAAAGGAAGCTATCATCATCAAATATGGCAAAAAATCGGGAGCTCTTGCAGGCAGGTTGGTATTGAAAATGGGGCAAGCCTTAAGTACCACGTAAGCTGACATGACCTCCGTTTTCCAAAAGGTACGAAAAATTGGTCTTTTGTTCATTCTCATAAACTACAGCAATTAAACGTACAAAAATTTGAAGGCAAATTCTGGCGCTTCAGCTGCTGATATTAAGTCTTCGTTGACACCTACCATATCAACTGCCAAGCGTTTGGCCACCCGAAACACTTGTTGCAGGTTTTCACTGAAAAAGTAACCGGCTAGACCTCGTTGTGTTTGATTTGCTTTCTCCAAAGCTTCTTCTTCAGTTTTGAATTTAATGAAGGAGACGAAGGAACCGAATACTTCTTCTGTATAAATTCTTGCGTTTGATCCCACGGATACATATATAACCAATATGTCGCAGTGACAGTGACAGTGGTATGAAAAAATCTGTATATAATAGGCAATGGCGCGCTTCTAGAACGAGTGACAACGTAAGAAGAAACTCCACAATTATCAGTTACTATTAAGATGCATTAGAAATGAAAACCTTTACAAATTAACATTTCTAATTACAGAAAGGTATCAAGTGTAATGCATATTTATACGTATAAACATTTGAAAAACTGCAATATTTCTTTGTTGTCAAGATACCCATCGAGACATCCATTACAAGGCGGCTTGGAAAATTCCTTTTTGTTGTGCAAAATATCGATTGGAATTTCGCCATTTGGGAACTACTTTACGTTATTATAATGAAAACTACATTCAAATTATATACCAAAATAAAGGATGTTTGTTATCCATTCGGGACGTAGAAATTAGCATTTAAACGAGATATAATTTTTGTTATAGAAGAGAAGAAATAATAAAAGTAAGTTTGTGAATATACACAAAGTGACGCGATCATCTGTTAGCAGTAGTTTTGTGCACCAGAAATTCGTACATTGCTAAATGGTAACAAGTGTAATTTTCATTTATCAAGCAAAAATTATTTCTAATGAAGATATAATAGGACAGACTTGACGTGATGGTGAAAATGCTTATGAAAATTTGGTATGAAGAAAATTTTCGTTGTAATTAAATATAAGTTTTTGTAAGTATTTGTTTATTAATGGCAAGTGAATTTGCACGCAAGCTTATACGGAGCAAAAGATTTTTTTATGTTTTGATATTTTTATTTTCTTTGTTTGTCAAAAAACTAGTTAATTGGCCTGCATGAACTAGCATATCGATTGGAACTTTGTGTTGATTCTTAAAGTATTCTTCCTTTTTCAAACATAATTTAAAGCCAGTTGTATTCGCGTAAAAAGGACATTTTTTCTTCTTAAGAACAATTTTATCGCCGAGATCATATCATATCAAATCAAATCATATTGTGCGAAATCTATTACTTCGTTCTTTCCGATGTCATTTTGTTTTCTGCAAACTGCAAAATTCTCAGTCGATTTAATCTCGCCCAGCTGTCGCGTGAGCGTTTAAACGCCGACAATCACAAAAATAGCAATAGACAGTTGAAAAATGGCATATGCGTTTTGTAAAGCGACAGATTTATTTCGGAAGTGAGGAAGATCAACTTCAAACCATGCTGCTAATAGGAAAAAACTGCACTGCGTATATGATCCAACGATCAGGCATAATTATTTTTAAACTTAATTACATTTTGTTTTAAAGCACATTGCCCAGCTATATCCACGTTTTGTCATCTTTCTCTAGATGTATCTGTCACAGTTTAGTTATTTACCCGCGTTTGCATGTAGTCCTTCGCTTGGAGGTCTTCTCGATGCTAGTGCCTGGACTAAAGCACTACAAGATTTTCAAAGTTTTGCCGGCTTAAATTTGACTGGTGAACTGGAAGAAGAAACAATGGAGCTGATGAGTTTCGTAACATCTGAGAGTAAGCGTCTGTACTTGTTTAAAATTGGGAATAATTGTAAAAGTCAGTCTGTATTTGCTTTCCTTTTGTGTGTTAACAATATTTCTATTTTTAGCTGTAGCTATAAATTTCGACATTTCTTTCTTCTTTGTTATTCTCACGTTTCTGCGTGAACTGGAGAAAAATGTTAGGTAAACGAGATCGTTTGAAACAAGCAATAAATGTGTATGCGAACGTGCATAGAAATGTCGATATTATTTGTACAACCTGATTGGGTACAACCATTATATATATGCATAATTTATATAATGTAATCCATTCCGGTGTAAAACCATTGTCCAGTAAAATCTTATTCAGCTTATGGGTAGTGAAATCCAGGTAGGGATTTTGCGTTTGTGCATTAGACAAAGGTTTTCCAGCACCACTAAGATTATTAAAATCCCCTTTAGGCATAGCTTCTTGTATATAATCTTCTACTACACGATCAAAGCCGTATTTAGTTTTATAAAGATGGTTCCTAGCAAAAAAGACTCCTTTTTTCAAGAGAGATTTTTCGTCAGCTTGTGACTTATCCATACGATGTTTTAAAACACGTAACTGTGCTTAATCACTACTGCATTCACAGACCAGTAAATTTATTGTAGCCCAAAGGCTATTATTTTTCATTATACATTTTTAATAGTTTATTTTTGCAATTGATTAAATCTTGTCTTATGCTTATTCAGGATGTTTTATCCGTAACCTTTTCGGCTGATAAACGCCAAATTGTTTCAGGCTCTCATGATAACACAATCAAATTGTGGAATACTTAAGCCGATTGTAAATTTACAGTTCAGGAGGATGGCCATATCGATTGGTTCTCTTCCAATCACACTTTGAAAAAATAGCGAAATTCCGGATCGAAAGTATATGAAATGTCATTAAATAGTCTTAAACAGTCAACTGTTGCATCAATGCGAGCCATTTTTCGCTGGCAAGTATAAAAGCCACAGCACTCGTTCCTAAACGTACTTTTAACAAACAAATGAAAACATTGTAGCTGCGCTAAGCCGACTATTACCTACCGTACACCACATTACCTAACACGATTATTATTTTTCAGGTCTCCATGTGGACAAGAGGTTTTGCAACCGAGGACGATTACTTTCTTATCAACATCATGGAGTACGAAATTGGAGACTAGGTCGAAGAAGAGTACTAGTTCACCACGATGGGAAGATCTACACACAGCCTATCCTAGCATGAAAGAATAAGGCTACATGCGGCTGCTCACAGGATATGAAGTCGCGCGTTACATTGGTGAGAAGTTGGTATGCCAAGCGTTTCTAAATGACCTAACCAAAGACGAAGGCGACATTTGCGAAGAGGTGAGTGATCGAAAAGTTGCAAAGGGCTAGAGAGACAACTTGACCCTCACCAGCAAATACCTGAAGCGGGTCTTTCCAAAACGAGAGGTTCACGAAGCATTGAACAAAGTCTAAGGACATCTTCTATGCGGCTATGCGACAACATATGGTGGAGCGGAACATAGGTAAGCGCGTGCAAGCGACAGTGGTGTTACAGCTTGCATTCTTCAGGACGATAGATAGTAGTGGTGGTATCCACGGGATCAATTTACTTGGATATGTTCTGTTTACGCTACTGACAGGAAGAAAAAACTTCACGGACATTAATGTGACCTCATTCAAAGGAATATTATTTCATATTTCAATATTTATCCTTTATTCATTTATTTTTGTTCTATTTTAGATGCAGGTCATCGGTCACCATATGCGGTCACCATAACGACGAACAATTGTATATTATATACAAAGTAATACAGGTAGTAAAATAGATAAAGGTATATATATATTTAAGAATATTTTTATTATATATTATTTATTTACTTATTTCTATTTTGTTTTAGGATAAAAATAAAGTACAACTCCCCGTTCGTCGCCTCACCGTAATGTAAGATTCGCTGTATGCCATTGGTAAGTTTGAGTTTGTCCTTGCTTATTATTATTTATAATTTATTCATTTAGTTTAATTTTATTTTATATTGAAAAACAACCACAGCGTATGCTCCATTATCGTTTCAGCGAAATGCAACACTTCCATAGGCTAAACTGTAAGTTTGTGATCTTTTTTAGTTAGAAAATTCGGTAATCACAATATTTTTTCTTTTTTATTTTTCTTTCGCAGATATCAGCACACCATCGCACAACGAGCGAGCCTGGTTTATTTAGATGTATTAATCGCGTTTATGTATTATGTATGTATATTATGTATAAGCAGGGCTTATTACAGTAGGCCTACAGGGAGCCAGCCATTTAAAACAATTGGCAACGCGCCTAACACGGCACCTCAAGGTGGCGTGTAAACCGTGAGAAGAATTTTGTTGTACATGGAACTATTATTTAAACAATTCTTCTTCTATTAATCTTTGTACCTCCGTTATGAATTGCTATTATTCGAGACGAAAAAACTTTTGGTTAATACCTTATTAAGCTAACCAACGAAGAATCCTAAGATCTCTTATGAATATGTTGAATCTGCAGTTTCCTTAGACAGCGTAAGTGCAAGTTTTTTCTAGTTATTACCTTATTACAGCTAATGTTTCTTTCTGTGATGCGGAATCGCGGGCCAAGAGTAACCGCTCTACCTTAGAAGAGCTAGGCCGCATCGCGTAGAAACGTTACAAGTTCTTAACCATTTATTTTATCCTCTTAGAATGCAAGTTTTAAACAATTTTTAATATAATTTTTCTTTCATTTATCTAGTTGCGCCTTTTCTTTCCTTTTCTTTTCCTGGTTTGTAAATTAATTATTCTCGACATTTAGCGTGAGTGTATTAAGTGTTCAAATTTTATTTGTTATTATAATTATTTTAATTACTTGCACACTTATATTGGCATAACACGTAAGATGTGCGTTAGCATCTCGTCACTAATGTGCACAATTTAAAATTTAAATTTTTCTAATCTTACTTGTATACAAACACGACAAGGCACCATGATGTCTTCACATTGACCTTCAAAAACCACTCATCGAGTGATTCGATCTGTTTCTTTCTTGTCAGTCTTTTTCTCAATCATCGGTAGTAACCGAAGAAGAAAGAGCATTCCATTTTCAAGTATAAAGCCGACCATTAATCTATATAGACGGACTTGGGACTTTGTTCTCTTTTCATAACTTCTCCCTTCGAATTGTGGCATTATATGACCGGAGAATCATGAAAAGAGACACTGATTAACGGTATTCCGTTATTACAATGCGCACTATTCTCTTGTAAGGAGCAGAGGACAAGAAGACCGACCGAAACCCCTACATCCACTTAGGCGGCTGTTACAAATTGTTGTGCCTTTCGTTTCTTATTTACTTTTGTCCTCTCTTCAAAAAAAAGAAGGCAGAACATTTTTGAAATTGTAAGCAAAATAGAAAAACGTTTCAGTTTTTTTAATTTACGCGTACGAATCGGAAAGATTTTAAATATATGCGGCTACATTTTTATCATCGAATGATTCAGCGACACTCGTTCATTCGACTGAGCCATCTATGAATTTCTGTAACCTAAAGATAATAAATTGACTATTATAAAAGAAGAAAAAAAAAACTTTGGAGAAACCTACACAAGAATGAATGAAAAGGAAAAAAAAATAAAAGCGAAAATTTATTCTAATGTCAATAATATAGTAATTAATTTCTTGTCTAAGTTTTAAATTTAACTTGCAAGTTAGTTTAAACACAACATATTGAAAGATATCATTAGATTTCTGTAAACAACTCTAAACTGCTTATTAAATTGCTCACAAATACATTTACATTGACTAGGTGTAATGATAATGAAGCTCATAGAGAAACGATTGGGGATATTAAAGCTCATTTCACCAAGTAATGTGGGCGAATCGATAGTACCATTAATTAAACTAATTAAGAAGGAAACACCAAGAATAAATTTAAGTTTCTCAAGCGATGGTACGGATAACAGAAGCAACTTACTTTCATAAGTAGGAGGAGAGTCAAAGGCTCCGAACCCAAATTCCTAAGAGCAAACAGCAAGAATTGCTTTTGAACTAATTCCATTGGAACTTCATAACACCTAAGGGAAGACGACCACACAACCGAGGCATATTCAATACTGGTCTAAGTAACATGGAAGAATTTTTAAGTTCTTTGGACCACCTCTTAACGAAAACTAGCGCCAACGAAGCTTTACTTAAAGAGAACTCGATGTGCAAATTAAAACGTAATCTTTGGCCGAAATTAACCCCTAAATTGATGGGAAAATCTGCGCTTTCCAACTTATGTGAATCGATGAAACATTCAGCATTGAATGATTTCCTCCTTGAGAAGGAACGCTTCTTGCATTTTTTTAGATTTAATTTCACAAAATTTAATGACCACCATGTAACCAAACTATTTAAATTAATTTGAAGTTGATACGACTGCGATTGCAAGAAGAAGGAAAACAGCAGTTTAACATAGTCAGAGTACATTAATATTAGGACGGATTAAATTACCGAGGTGAGATCATTTATGTATAAATTAAATAAAAGGGGGCCTCCGCGGCCGCGTTGAAGAACGCCAGATATCGCGAGAAATTCATCTGAAGTGTGGGCGTTAAAGAGAACCCTAAACGATCTGTTATAAAAAAAATAGTTTATTCATTTCACTAAATACAAAGGAGGCCAGGGGATTGGAGTGTGAAGATCAATAAGTTGTGGTTAAATAAGTTAATCGCTTTACTAAAACCAGTATGTACATCCGTGCGAGAGCCACAGGAAAAAGCCTTGAAAAAATGCAACTAATCTCTACGGAATTCGTGACAATCGATCTTCCTTTCCGAAAGTCACGGTGGAATGGAGAAATTTAAGATTTAATAGCAAAAGTAAAAATTCGCTCAAACAGTTTGGGGAAGACACTCAATTTGGCGATGCCACTATTATTAGAAATTGTAAACAAATGTGGGCGCTTATTCTCACATGTTTGGAATTATTGAGAATCATTTTCAGTTGACGGCAAATTTTTATACGTTTACTTTCAGATGGACGCAATTTCTATACAAATACTTGAACAATTATAGTTCCCAACTTGATGTCTATTTCCACATTTGTGAATTTGTGATTTTAATGGCTGATTAAAAATCATTGAAATAACACCAAGTAGCTCGACAGAGCATGATTTAAGTATACCAACTATATCTCGAAAAAACAGCAGGAGATTGCCTTATTCCAAAAGGAAGCTACAAGAATTCATAATGAATGTTGTGAGTTACAAACCATGTGTATTTGCGAGAATTTTCATGGAAGAAGCCGTTCCTTGCATTTTACACTCATTTACACTTTCGTCATTATTAAAAATTTCGTATTTATTTTTATGCACATGTATTTTTATGTATTTTTATGTGATGCTGAGAAAGGAGAATAAATATTTCCAATATTGACATTCTAACAGGTGGTCGCTCATTTACTTACTCTCTAAAGTAACAAAATTCGAAGTTCAAATACATTGCAACAAGTGATACACAAAAGACAAAAACAAAATAGTGGAATTAGCAAAAACCAAAACTAACTAACAAACAAACTTTTCTCTTTAAATTGTTCAACAGTTGCTGGTGAATTCTTAAACAATGAAGGTTCTGGACTGATGGAAAATTGCGTTATATTCACGTAGGTTAAGATTGTCACGTCTTTTATTAATTCCCAAAATATAATGCAAATATATATGCATGTCCGCACAGCTATATTTTAGAGACCTTCAACCACCTAAACCGTCGTTTTCTGAAATGACCAAGTTAGGAATCGAAACCGAATTAGTTAACGGATACGAATAGTTTACAGTTGAATCGGAATTAGAAGTTCAAACACTTCGTCGCAAAAATATTTGATGTTTTAAAATCATCAGGTGAAAATATTTAGGATTAAGGAGCAGTGAGGATTTTATCAACTGAAGGTATCTGCATTAACATTGGTGGTTGAGGTAATAAAATCTATACTTTGACCAAAATGGGCGAAACATTCAATACACTCATCATTTATTTTTTTTATAAAGTTTCTATTTCTTTGTAGTATTTAATTCTTTTCTTAAACTATGCCGGGAAATTGCTTCGAATTGCGAGGTTCGAAATGGATATAGAAAGAGCTAGTTTAGTGCATTATAACAGTAAAGTTTCAAGGGCAATCGTGCCTGTAATGAAAGGAAATGCAAATTGCTTCATGATACATATCCTCCTAAGTATTGAATTGAAAATCCAATCGCCACACCTCCGGTAGAGTCGTAAGAAAATTACAAGTGTAAAATAATCGTATAAGGCGACATCCTAAATAGGGTACATCCTCCAAGTTCGGCACAGGATTTTCTGTTAAAATTCCAATACTCTGAACAATTAGGGGCTTGACTTCGATAAATTTCTTATCCGCTAATAACATCGATAGCTCACGTAAACTAGAACGATATTCATCATTTGCTGTACGCAACAAACTCTTGGAAGAACCACTGGAAAAAAGAAATTTCATTCTACTTGTATATATATGCAATAAAATTAAATAAAACCCAAACGTACTTTTGCAAAGGAAACAAGGCATATATAGCCAGGCAACGAGTCAAAACTTTACGTCTATAAAGTTGTAAAATACATGATTATTATCAGATATTGAGATATAATTTAAAAAATTCACACTTTGTAGTTATGATTTCTTTTTTAAGGCCGACGGCCCCAGCTTTCGGCTTGTGTGGATATAATTTGCAAATGCTTTGCCAGCATATATAAGGATTTTTTCACATTTTGTGGTTCTTTTAAAATTATCTTACAACACCACGATATCATGGCACCACTATGGCCCTGGCAGGTTCTGAATCGGATCTGAAATATCATTTTTTGTTGTTTTTAAACTCAATTCTCATATATAAATAAAGAATATTTTTAATTTACTCTGTCTTTAGATTCTCTATTAGTTGACTTAGATCTTGCAGGAAAGTAATTTGAGCACCAGCGTTAGGTAGTTTTTCCATTTTATACAAAATAAATATATGTAAAGCGAAAAAGCATGAATGGGCATAAGTTCAAGTTTATCCAATGTCATGCGTAAAGTATTTAAAATATTTAACCATGTCGGTGTATGCGATTCGAGACTTTCTTCTGAAGAACGAAAATAATAACCAATAGAACATTCTAGCAAGCTGTAAATGCCGGATATAAAAGCTTTTATATGTCCGACAGCATTTAATATGCTCAACATCAAAACATTGCCTGGTGATGTAGAGCTTTTCATCCATATTCTCATACATTCAATATGTAAGCTTTAATTTTATAGCGAATTAAATTGAAACTGAAATTAATTTTAACTTTTATATTTTAATGTTTTTGTTTAATAAAACAAAACAAAAAAACTCTTAATTCGATGTCTCTTCGCTATGAGTTTGCATGGCTAACATAATTTTCAATATTAAATTGACAGCATCATGTTTTATTTCTTCCGGGCTTTTACCCGCTGTATGAGCAATAATTATCTCTTTTAAGGTTCGAAGTAAATCGTCAAACGTAGCTATAAATATTTTGCGTCCATTTTTACTGGTTAACAATTTTGGATTTTTGGCTACGCAGGCTCGTTGTAAACATATCATAGAGCGGGTATACAAAATACGTTTAGCCATAATTGTTTCTTGTACGGTTCTGAATTTACAGCTTCCTGATATTTCTTAATTACTTTGCTAAAGTATTGATACGCTTTTAGCTAAAAACTAGTGCTGGGGAGTTTCAGTAAAGTATTATTATTATTATTATTATAAATTTAGCCAGAGAATAAATTCTAAAGCTAAAGTCTTAAAAGCGTTAGCATTTAAGTTTTCGGCTTTCTTTGCTGCATTTGAGATTTGAACCAACGACCATTGAGTTGCTTGTCGAGACTCTTGCCTACTCGCCCATTCAGGCGGATTTCAGTAAGGTATGTTTCTGACTTTCCCAGCGTCCAGTTGCAAAATTGCAAAGCCTTTTTGCCTTTTTGGTAGGACGATTGTTCAATGTTCGTTGTCTATTATTATATTATATAAATAAATTATATTAATAAAAAGAAGACAATAGTAGATATAATTATTGAGGACTTTTCTACAACGCCTTTTAACAGTCCTACAGCATCGCCTGAGAGCAAATTAAGAAATTTGGAGCGGTCCACTTTATTTATATTACGGGAGAAACCGAAAAGAAATTATAGCTGTGAATTTAGAGCAAGGGAAAATCAAATTTGGAGGAAAAATTCAAGGCCGCTGTTGATGACAATCATGATAATTTATCTCAGAAAGTAAGTTACTCTTTATAGGCTTTTTTTAACAATCCTAACTTTGTAATTTGTACATTCTTTTTAGGAGAAGCTTCAGATCGTGGTTATATCGAGAAAGGGGGCACGTACAACGTAAATAAAAGTAAGTTGTTTTTAAAATCT